TAGGTAGCCACCACCGTTGGACAGATCAACATACTGGGGGACCTTGAGGGACATTGGCCCACGTCGAAGCAGCGCGGAGGGTGAAGTTGGCGCGGCCAAGGGCGGCCCTGCGCGAAACCACTCTGAGGGAGGAAAGCATCTTGCTGTCTGTGTCTTGCTCTGTCTCTCTGAGGTGTCAGGTCGGTCAGTGTCGAGGTGAAGGGAAAGAGACGGGAGACTGGAAAATGACGGCGGGGGACGGGAGTGTGGATTTTACCTCTTCGGCCTCTTCTGGAGCTACCGAGCTGTGGTTCGATGCGCCTTCTCCTTCGAAAATGGGGGGTCAGTTTGGGCTTGTGGGTGGCTTGTGGGCGGGTGGTCCCCGTCACATCACCTGTTGGACGTGGGGCAGCAAAGTTTTTGGCCAATTAGACGTCTGCAATCCCGAGTGCATCCCACGAACGGTGCCGCCACGGAGCTGGATTCCGTCCACCACCGACCTCGGCCGAGCTACCCCGGCCTCAATGTGACTCTTTCTGGCGGCTGAATGCAATCCAGCTGTCATCTTTTTTGCTCTTTTTTCTGATCGAGATGCTTTTCTTTTGCCAGAGTCGCATCAATCAGCAAGGCTGCAGCTGAGACTGCACTTGGCCCGGCGTTTAGGGCTCACACACAAAACAGCACTCAAGTTACTGAGAACCAGTAATCATGGCTCAAATGGAGGGGAATGAATACCTAGGTGAGGGGTAATTAAACACCGAGCTGTTGATGTTGCTGGGCCAACCACTCTATCGCCGATTGATTTGGGAACTGACATGTGAATATCTCCAAAAGATGAAGACTTCAGGTATCAAAACCATAGGGGGATCCAAGAGATGGGATCAAACTGCCTGCCACTGTCAATCTTGTGTAATCGCTGATCCGATCGTGGTCAACGTTTGCCTTTGGTCTCACCTTTGACGGCAACCACATCACAATGCAACGTTGGCGTGTGCGAGCCGGAATAGGGGCTCAGGGGTAAGGGGAGAACACCTCAGCTCAGCACAGCTCAGCACACACAATCCCTTCGCCGGGTTCGATGCGTCTCCGGGTGCAACCAGCATGGCAATCATAGCAACTCTTGACGACAGCTGGTAGCAAACACGGGTGTCGCAGTATCACCGTCATCCCATCCACGTATCTGGTTGAACATCACCACCGGTATAAGTTGACCCCTGGGCACGCCATCAACATGATTTTTGATCCTCCATCACACATCACCAAGGCCGGTACCTAGCCACCCTGAGATTCAAAGACAAACCACCAACCATGCATCTCCACACGACCATCCCGCTTGTCGTCTTCCTGGCTCGGGCCTCGGCCCAGCTTCACAGGATGGAGTTCTCCCACTCCATGCCCGCCCTCGCTGCTGCCGACTGCCCTGCCACGGCTGACATGCCCAAGTGCGCTGTATGCCCCCCTCCCTTATTTCCTTGGTACCCCAACGGCAGCTAACAAGCTAAACCAGATCTCCTGCATCGACACCGCCACCACCCAAAACGGCTGCGCGTCCGCCTCGGACCTCGTCTGCCAGTGCAAAAACTACGACGCCATCCAAAAGGCCGCCGCCCCTTGCGTCATCGCCGCCTGCGCGGCCAAAGCCCCTGATGTCATCTCGGTCGCGAGCGAGATCTGCTCCCAGTGCGCCGGCGTCCCGGTCGCCGCCGTGATGCGCGAGACTATGGCCATGGAAGATGCTGCCGCTCACACCGGCAAGGGTGAGAATACCCTCCAGCGGGCTGCTCAGCCGACCGGTCCGATGCCTTTTCATCGCGGCAGCGTAGAGAATCAGCAGGCTGGGAGAGATCTCTGGGTGGATGCGGAGCGCAAGGAGTGGGTTACCATGCCCCGGGTGGCTGCTGGTGCTCTGGCCAGGGAGACGGGACGCCCGATGCCTCCTCGTGGGGTTGTGAATGAGGATGGGGACAGGAAGAAGGGGGATAAGAAGATGCCGCGGGATGTGATGCTCAATGACATGACACAAGCCGAGCGCAAGCCGCTGGAGCCCATCGTTATCAACTCCGAGTCGCCTGAGGAGCTTCCTGATTTTGGGTCTGACAAGTCCGAGGGTCCTGAGCTTCCCGACTTTGGGTCTGACAAGTCCACGTCCCCCGAGCTCCCCGACTTTGGCGGCGAGCCGACAGAGCTTCGCCCTTGCTGGCAAGGAGACTCCCAGGGCTCTGGAAGCATGCGGTCTTGTGACGGCTCGGCCGATCGCGAAGGCGACAGCCTTGAGGGTGATGAAGGAACTTTCGCACGGACGAGATCCAACACGTGGAAGAGAAAGATTGATCTTGTTTACGAGAAGGAGCAGGAGAGGATGAGACAGATGGATCAAATGAAGAAGGAGAAGCAAGACAGCCAGGTGATGATGGAGAAGGAGGAGGGGGAGATGAACAAGCAGGGTGAGCAGATGAAGTGGACGTGGTAGAGGCAGGGTATCAAGGTTGCCTTTACTAAGAGGAGTAGTTGTGGAGTGCTTTGGAGAATAAGGTAATGAGGATTATGGTATCATTAAATTCAATGCTGATCGCTCTATCTTGTACCCCCCGTCTATGTCTATCTCTATGTCTATGCGGGTATCTACTGCTCAAAGGGAAGCCTTGGTCTCGGGCTCGTTCTCCAAGACGAATCTGTATCTTGGCGCTCCCTTCTCAAAGTCGATGATAGCCTGGTTGGCGTTCTTCATGGGGATGGTCGAGATCCATGGCTTGACGCCCTTGGCGAGCGCCAAATCAAACATCTCCCTGATATCATCCGGGCTGCCGATCAAACTGCCGGTAACCTTGATGCGCTTGAAGATCAAGGGCTTCTGCTGGAAGGTCGGGAAGCCGTCGTCGGGCAGGCCAACCTGGACAAAGACACCGTCAAACTTGAGCAGGTTGAAGTAGTCTTGTACGGGCATGTCGGTCTGGCTGACGGTGCAGACGATCAAGTCGATGGTGTTGGCGTGGGTCTTGCCCCATTTGGGGTCCTCAGCGGTGGCGATGAACTCGTCCGCACCCATCTTGAGGGCGTCCTCCTTCTTGGCGTTTGTTCTCGAGATGACGACGACCTTGTCCGCACCGAGGGCCTTGGCCCACATGACGCCAAAGTGACCGAGACCACCGAGACCGACGATGCCGACCGTCTTGCCGGGACCGGCGCCATGGTGCTTGAGGGGGGCATAGGTGGTCACACCGCCGCACAGCATGGGAGCGGCCTCGGCGCTGGAGACTCCATCGGGGATCTTGACAGCGAAGCGGGCGGGGACACGGTTGTAGGTAGCGTAACCACCGTAGGACTTGCCGCCGTTGAGGTAGACGCCGTTGTAGGTACCGACGTGCTTGTTGGGGCAGTAGTTCTCCTGGCCGGCATCGCAGGCCTCGCAAGGCTTGCCCATGCGGCCGCAGCAAGAGTCAGACTGGGCACCGACACCTACGCGGTCGCCGAGAGCGAGGTGCTTGACTTCAGAACCGATTCTGACGACCTTGCCGACAATCTCGTGTCCAACACAGCATGGGTAAAGAGTTGGGCCCTGGTGTTTAATATTTGTTAGCAGCTAGCTCGGCAGGCAGTCTCGGAAGATTCAAGTCGGGAAAACATACCCATCCGGAGCGGAGAGTGTGAAGGTCGCTACCGCAGATACCGCAGTGAGAGATCTTGATATCGATATCGGTCTCCTCCCAAGGCTTGGGCTCAAACTCGCCCCATTGCATCTTGCCCTCGGCCGAGCTGGCATCGAGGCCAAGCCATCCTTCGAACTTGTAGTCGGTCATTTTGATTAGGTATAGAGGGGGCGGCTGAGTTCAAGTCTGGGATAGAGACTAGAGGGGTATCAAAGATGGAGTAGATTGAATGACGAGAGAACAGACAGGACCAGTTAAAAAAGTGAGGAACGACTAGAGATATATACCACTTCCGCCGCGGACATCCATTACCAATGCCCAGCGCCATGCCCGACTCCATAGATTGCGCTCGAATCCATTTCTTGTTTCGAAAACTCCACCTTGCGGCGTATCAAAATTAGTAATGCAGGTTGTTGTACTGGGTTGACATGGACTGAATAGCTTCACGATAAGTTGTTCCGGCACCGGGGCTTCCCTGTTGCTAATCTTTTTTTTTTGTCGGTAGTTCTTTTCGCCCAAGCGCGTCTTTCTTTGCAAAAAACCGTCTTACCAATCGTGGCAAAATAGTAATAAGCTGACGCCAAACAGAAGGGAAAAAATCTCACGCTGTTAGCAGCCAAGACCACGTCTTGTTTCTAAATTCCGAAAATTCCGATAAGGCGGAATGACGAAATCGTCGATAAGGCCAGAACATGGTGGAGTTAAGATAAAGTCGGCGGATAGCGCTGTGGATAACGATCCGCCTTGAGTATCCAGTGATAGGTGAATCGTGTTGTCCCCATGTGCCCCAGCACCATCGATCGAGTCAAGGATCCGCCTCCGAGTCTCGGGAAGTGGGGCTCAACTCAACATCACTGTTTCAACGTGACTGGACTTTTGATAGTATTTTATGGCGAATCTTGGATTGTTAATGCTTTGCCTAGGTACCTAGATTTAGTTCAAGCGTCCGTACCTATAGTAAGCTGTCTTCAATGGCTCAAGGTTTGTAGACTAGACCCAAGCTTTATCCAGACTCAACCCAAGCATTTTTTACCTATCGAATCATCGTAGTCCAATATATTTTATTGTACTCGGGTCTAGTAGACTTAGGATTGAATTTCAGTTTGGTACCTACTGAACGGAAGGAGTGGCAGATAAATGAGAGTCAGCATTGTATCCAGGACCCCAAGGCCTTCGAAAAACGATAGAACAACAACAGGCTTCACAGGAGGCAAGATCACTGATCTAAGTGGGAAATACGGAGCTGTTTGGGTTAGCAGTCTGGTTGCTAGCAACCTGGAAGACTCTTTTGAAAACCAAGCGACAGCAAACGAGCTGTTTGAATCTCTGTGACTGCCTCTATAAATGAAAGCTGGGTACTGCTCCTCAACAACCGGCTCGATAGTCTAATGGTATGACGCTCTGGTCCGTATCTCGCACGGGGTCGCTCTGACCTGTTCCAGTTGTCGATCGCAGAGCTGTGGGTTCAAATCCCGCCCGAGCCTCCCTAGCTAGGACATTTTTTTTTCCGCCTGGATTGAGCAGTTGCTCTCTGATGGCACTCTCCCCTCTTGAGTAACTCGGGAGGACGGTTGGGTCTATTTATTTCCCCCTCTCACTTTACCTCCCAAAGACATGCGATCACTTTGTTTGCAAGATTCTCTTTGTCACAACAAGGTTCTCAATTACCTTGGTTCCCCGCTGAAACAACAGGAGAGCTTACATCCATCTCGCCACAAAAGCTCACAATAACCACCACCTACCTAGATCAACTTTCCCTCCATCCTCTCCAAACTCAAAATGGAGCTGATGGACAAAACCGAGTTCCCCTTCTTCAACCTCCTCACCACAACCCTCTCCTGATGTAGTGGCTGGCCTTTTTGGCTGATGGGAGTTGTGCTCGAGGGGAGGCCAGTGTATGTAGACCGAAAAAGGATGAAAACAAGGATTGAGATTGCGGTGAGCTGGTTGCCCAAAGAAGTGATGGTATCGACCTGGCGTTGGATGTTATTCAGACATGGGTGAGAGATAGTGTAGTATAGGCGTGTGTGCAAGTCATTAGCAGCGTGGCAGCGCGTGTTGGGTCAGGGGTGTTTTAATTAATCCCAGAGCCCAGACCAGCTAGACGGTGGTGGACTGGACCCTTTTCCCCACAGGCCCACGCCCCCCTGAATTGGCCAATCAGAACCCCACCTACCGAATACAACAGCGACAGCTGGTCCGAGTCCAACCTGCGACTTTTCCTTGAGCGTGGCACAGGAATATAGGCCTACCCATGTGCAACTGGTATTGGAAGAAAGCCCTGGAAAAGATGGTCTTTTTGACACCGGGTGCACTTAAATTGAACCACTGGATCATGTGGTATATGTGTGGGAAGGCTGGTGTATATAGGTACATTTTCTACTTGATACTCGGCTTCCTACACATATACCACACCACCCAGATGTCACACCAGGGTGCAACCGGTGTCAAAAAGACCGTCTTTTCCAGGGCTTTCTTCCAACACCAATTACACCCGGGTAGACCCAGTGATGGTGGAAGAGGGGAGTGGTAAGTGTGGGTGATAAGTGTGGGTGATAAGTGTGGGTGATACGTGTGGGTGGTGAGGAAGGCTTGCACTTACTACCACTAAGACAATGCTTAGCATGTGTCTATTGTTGAAATGGGCTTAGACTTGGGAAAGTTGGTATGGGTGATCCTTATTTTATATACTTGTTTCCAAAGTGTCTGCCATGTAACATCGTCTTGCGTTACTTCATTTGAAAATAAACCACCAATCGCACCAATAAAATGGAAAGAACCTTTCAAAAGCCCTCTTTTATACTAGTAATATTCAATTGATTTATCATGTATTTTTCAAACATCCTCATGGTGAAATATTTCTGCCATGCTCGGCCAAAAAAGCGCAGGACGCAGGACGCCGGACGGTCCCGGCTCTCAGACCTCTTTCCACGTGCAGGAAAGGCCCACAAATACGGATACCGGGAAGTTGTCAGTGCGGGCTGTGGGGCCGTGTGGGGTCACACATGGCTCTGGGGGTTGTGAGGGTGAAGTGAAAGGAGGTCTGAGCCACCGAGACTAGTGGTGCCTTGAAGCCAATAGCGTGTGGTTGGCAAAGAAAGCGCACGTATCAGAGATGGTGCCGTGAAATCAGTGCTTATGCTCGCTTCGGCACCTTCCAGAGCCTCTCTCTCTTCGTCTATCAAAAGTTTATATAAACCGACACAATGTCTTTCCCAGGTACTGTACCTTTTACTTCACCAGGACATCTGCACCCACAACTCTCAACACCATGCAATTCCGCCATCTCACCCTCCTTGGGGCCCTCCCCCTAACCCTCGCCCACGGGCCACCATCCCCTTCAACACCACAAATCACCCAGCTCTTCGCCTACCCCCCGACCAACCCCATCTTCCTCGAAAACCTCCTCACCCTCCCCGACTCCCGCCTCCTCCTCTCCTCCTTCTCCCCCTCCCTCCTGGTCTACTCCCCCGGCTCCTCCACCGCCCCGGCCCCCATCTTCACCTTCCCCAACTCGACCGCCTACACCGGCATCACCTCCCTCTCGCCCACCACCTTCGCCATCACGGGCGGCATCCAGGTCGGCCTCGGCTTCGACCCCTCCACCATCGCGGTCCACCTCTTCTCCCTCCCCAACGGATCCTCCAACCCGACCCTGATCAAGTCCATCCCCGTCCCCTTCCCCCTCCCCAACGGGCTGCTGGCCCTCCCCTGCAACAAGACCGTCCTCCTCGCCGCCGAGTCCCTCACCGGCTCCCTCCTCCGCATCGACACGGCCACCAACACCGTCACCACCATCCTCCAGTCCGCCCTCATCGCCCCCAACCAAAACTTCTTCCTCGGCATCAACGGCCTCGCCGTCCGCCCCGGCCGGCACTTTGACGGCTACCTCTACTTCACCGTCTCCTCCCAGGGCTACTTTGGCCGCATCAGGATCTCCAGCCAGGGGTACATCCCCGCCGGCAGCGAGATCGAAGTCCTCGCTCAGATCCAGGGCCAGGTGAGCGGCGGCAACGCGTTTGACGACTTGGACTTTGACCACACCGGCCGCAGCGTGTACGTTGCCTGGCAGGGCAGGCGGGTGGTCAAGCTGACCGAGCCCAAGACGGCGGGGCAGCCGTGGAGCCAGCAGGTCATTGTCGACGGGACCGAGGCGGTGGGGCTGAAGGGCGTGACGGCTGTCAAGCTGGGCAAGGGCCGCGGGGGGAACAGGGTGCTGTTTGCCACCACGGGCGGGTTGGATGAGACGAACACCCAGGTGGGAGGGCAGCTGGTGAGGATCGACCTCTAAATAAAGCTGCTCTTCTCTGCTCTGCTCTGCTCTGTCTTGGGAAATGTGGGAAACGACAAGTAAACTAGTTACCTATTGAACGACAAGAGGCACACAAAATAAGCCGATGCCATTGTCATGTAGCCTCTATCAAATGACCATAATATATAATATGCCTCTCCCCATCGATCCTTCTAATGCCAGCATTAACAAGTATGCATGCGCCCCCCCACCCTTCCAAAACAGTGAAATGATACAAACGGCCAACTCCCCAGACCTACCTTACCCAACCAACCAACCATACATACATACAAAAACATACAATATACCATTACCCACCTATATCCTACCCCCGTCCAACACCTCCCTCCCCAAAATCTCAACCTCTCCCGTGTCCCCGGTCCTCCTCCTTTCCACCACCCATCGTTTCCCATCATCCCCATCGGCCATCGTATACGATATGCTGTCCGCCGACCCCTTGTGTCGGTGCCCCATAACCGGCCGTGTCTTGTCCCCTTCACCAGCCACAAACCCCTTTGTCTCCGATGCTTCCTTCTCTTCCGTGACAACATGTGTATTAATTCCCTCAACAACCGGCAGCGCCGGCGCCAGCCCCTTGACCGTGACCGTCTTCTCCTCCTGACCCCACTTCCCCTCCTCGTCCTCCTCCCCATCCTCCAACACGGGCGAGCAAGCAAACGCGCTGCCGCTCCCAGCAGGGATAGCCGGACTGGGCACCAGCACAGGCAGCTGCACCCCCGGCGGAGGCGCAAACATCCCCATCCCCATACTCATGCCCATGCCCATCATGCCCATCTGGTTCATATCCATCCCCCCAATCCCCGCCGGCCGCTGCGGCAAAGGCGAGACAACAACCCCATTCACCCCGTTGGCTCCCTGACTGCCCGCAAACGCACCCGCGGGGAAAGCAGCCATCTGCGGCACCGGACTCGCCGTCCTCGACCCCTCCCCTCCCACCCCAGCGTCCGAATTGCTCCACAGCGAAAAGGCACTTCCCTTCCTAACGTGGCCGCCTATCGCCCCCGCGTGCAAGTGCCCGCCAAAAGGCGACTCCGACGGCCCCCTCTCCGACTTGGGACTCCCCTCTCGCGAGCTGACTTGCGAACCCCCGGCACCAAACGCCCGGTTCCTCGCCTTCATGTAAGCAGCCACACTGAGGCTGTTCTCGTCATCTCCCAGCAAGGCCAGCTGCGCCAACCCAGGACTGTTGATCGCGAGCGAGTTTCTTCCCGTGTCGCTCCCTATCGCCGGCGGCAGAGCCAGAGACATGATCGAGTTACGATTCGAGTACTCTGACCGCTCCGTGATGGGCGTCAGATTGGGCTCTCGGCAGACGATGCGACCGCTCTTGCTCCGACCCAACCCTCCCGCCGGACCAAAATACCCGCCGTTGGCATACGAAAACAAATTCTCGGCGTTGAGGTCGGCCTGCTGGCCGTTGGAGCCGCCGCCGTTGCTGCCGTTGCTGTGATGCCCGTAGCCACCACCTTGTGGGATGGGGGCCGAGTAGAACCCAAACTCTTGGCCATACCACCCGTCCGAGTCGTTGGCAAGCGCCTCGGCGTTGGCTTCGGCAATGATGGCATCGTCGTCAAAGTCGTAGTCGTCTTGGTAGCCGCCTCCATACTCGTCGTAGTCCTTCTCGTAGTCGTCAAAGTTGACTTGCTTTTCGTACTCGTCAAAGTCGACCTCCTTTTCGTAGTCATCGAAGCTGACTTGCTTGTCGTGGTCGTCCAAGCTGACTTCTTTCTCGTAGTCGTCCAGGGCTGCGTCAATGTTGTTGGCCGACTTGGCCGAGTCGGTTGGGGAGGTGACGGTCAGTTCAGCTGGGGGAATTGGTGACGAATTTCGACGGAATTTGCCCGACGCCGCAGCCTTTTGGGCGGCTGCGGCGAGGGCAGCCTGGTATGCCAGGTCTTGTCCGGGGAAAGGCAGCATCTCTGGGGGCTGAGGACCTAGTTGAAAGGCAGGCAACGAATCTGCGGGTGCTTTCTGTTCCGGCTCTACAACTTGCTGCTGAGCCGCGGCGCTGATAGATGTGTGGCTAGTGGATGTCACGGCCCCTGAAACCCCTGAAAGATCCGATGTCATGTCAGAGGTGCGGTTGGAAGCCTGAAGCTGTGCAGCACGCATGGCTTCCTGGGCTTGCGCAAAGGCTCCGGGGATTGGACGCCCGTATTTGTCTGTGTCATT